GGATTACCTGAACCTGAGGGTTCAAGACCAGCCTGGGCAACTTGGCAAGACCTCGTTTCTACAATACATCAAAAAATTAGCCAGGCATGGTAGTGCACGCCTGTAGTTCCAGCTACTTGGAAGACTGAGGCGGAAGGATTGACACTGCACTCCAGCCTGGGTGACAGAGTGAGACTCCAACTCAAAAAATAATAATACAAAATAATAATAAAAAAATAAATAATAAGCTGGGCGCAGTGGATCATGCCTGTAATCCCAGCAGTCTGGGAGGCAGAGGCAAGAGGATTACCTGAGCTCAGGGGTTCAAGACCAGCCTGAGTAACATGGAGAAACCTCGCCTCTACAATAAATAAAAAAATCAGCTAACCGTGGTGGCACATGCCTGTGGTTCCAGCTACTTGGAAGGCAGAGGCGGAAGGATCACCTGAGCTCAGCAGGTTGAGGCTGCGGTGGCTGTGAGTGTGCCACTGCACTCCAGCCTGGGTGACAGAGTAAGACTCCCATTCAAAATAAATAAAATAAATAAAAAAATAATAACGACACACTAAGGAAACAGATGCCTTCTTACACTGCTTGGTAGGAGAGTAAATCGAACAACTTCAATGAAAAACATTTGGCAGTATCTATCAAAATTTACAGTGCACATATTTTTTGACCTAGCAATTCTGCCTTTGGGAATTTGCCTTACAGATGTATTTCCACATGTGCACAATGACATCTGCCAAAGGCTCTTCACTGTGGCATTGTTGGAATAGCAAAAGATGGGAAACTCCCGAGGCCCGTTTACAGGGGCCTGATCATCATACTTAGTTCATCCTTACGGTGAAATACTCTGCACTGATAGAGTGAGGCAATGTTATGTGCACTGATGTGCGATGATCTCCAAGATATACCATTCAGAGAAAAGCAGGGTATAGTGCATATGTTACCATTGATATGACAAAGTATGTGCACATTCTTACATCTGTGCTAAACATCTCTGGAACAGTGGCTGCCTCTGGGGAGAAGATCTGGTGGAGGGGACAGGGTGGGAGAGACATGGTTTTTACTCTTGGAGAGTTTGTATTTATTTATTTACTTATTTGAGTTGGGAGCGTCTCACTTTGTCACTCAGGCTGGAAAACACAATCATGGCTCATTGCAGCCCCGACCTCCTGGGCTCAGGTGATCCTCCTGCCTCAGTCTCCTGAGTAGCTGGGACTACAGGCGTGCACCACCACACCTGGCTATTTTTTTTTTTTTTTTTTTTTGAGTTGGTGTCTCACTCTGTTGCCCAGGCTGGAGTGCAGTGGCATGATCATGGCTACCACAGCCTTAAACTGCTAGGCTCAGGCAATCCTTCTGCTTCAGTCTTCCAAGTAGCTGGGTGTACAGGCGTGTGCCACCATGCCCAGCTAATTTTTTGATTTATTCTAGAGACAAGGTCTCACCAAGTTGCCGAGGCTGTTCTTGAACTCCTGGACTCAAGCAATCCTCCCGCCTCGGCCTCCCCAAATGCTGGGATTACAGGTGCAAGCAATCACATTCCCCTAGAATTTGTATCTTGTGCATTTATCATGTATTTCCAAAATAAACATTCACTTAAAAATAGCACTTGAAGATCAGCCTGGGCAGCATAGCAAGACCACATCTCTACAAAAATTTTAAAACTTTGCCGGGCATTATGATGCATATCTATAGTCCCAGTTATAGGGAAGGCTGAGGCAGGAGGATTGCTTGAGCCCGAAGGTTGAGGCTGCAGTGATCTATGATTGCACCACTGCACTCTGGCCTAGGAGACAGAGCAAGACTCTGTCTCTTAAAAATATATAAAAAATAAAAATAACACTTGGACAACTTGTTAACCATTTGGAAATTAAGGAGAGCCCACCTCAAACTATACACAGAAAATGTTCCAAATATATTCACGACTTTAGTCTAAAAGTGAAACTCTAGAAGTCCTCCCCTTACTGTCATGTTCAATTCTTGCACACTAAATTCCAAGGCCCTGCTTAGCAGCAGTCCTGCCCCTCGTCGCCCAGGTGCCTCCTAGGGTGGGCTTCTGCACTGATGTCTCTGGAATGAGCAGCTCTGGTCCCCACGGCTCACAGAGGCTTCAGAGCTATGAGCTTGCCTCCCTCCTGCCTCTGCTTGAGCAGCCCCGGGTATCTGGAACCCAACACCCGCCAAACCCAAACCTTCTCCCCAACACCCGTCTGACCCCTGCGCCTCTTCTGGATATCCATCAAAGAGACAGCCACCTCCAAGAGTCCCCAAGTCAATACTAGAAGTTGCCTCTCACTGGCGCCTACACTCTTCCCACGGGCTTGCAGGGTGGTTGAGAGTGTGGGTCTGGAGCAGGTGCCAGCTTGAATCGAAGCTCTACCTCGTGGAAGCTGAGTGACTGTAAGCAAATGACTTCACTGTCCTTGCCCTCAGCTGCCTGTCTATAGATGAGGGAGAGTAACACACTCACCTCACAGGTACTGAAACGTGGAAACACTAGTGAGTGGCCATGTACGGTGTTTAGGCCATGTACGGTGTTATGAGGAGCTCCATAAACATTAAGTATTTGTTTTGATGATTAGTTTTACTCAGTGAAGTCCAGGACTCCCCCACTTAGCAGATTCCCTCTTCTGAGGCCTTCAGCTGGCTCTATGTTCTGGCTCTATGCCCATCACCCAGTAGCACTTATTGAGTGCCAGTTGTGTACACTGCTATAGGAGAGAGGACCCATTAATCTTTCTTTTTTTTTTTTTTGAGTTGGAGTCTCACTCTGTCACCCAGACTGGAGTG